TTAAAAACAGACTCTGGGTGTGAACAGGACTACAGTCAGACACCCACCTTAATGACTACACAGCTGCAGCCCACCACCTTGCGGGGTTTGCCCTCTCTGTCGATCTTGCACAGACCAACCCACTCACCAAGCTTCTTATTGTCATCAACCTACAGGAGAGCACAGAGACGGTTATTTTTTATGGCTCTACACCTTTAAGCAGTTTAAATCAGGCTTATGGGTCCCAAATAAAAAGTTCTTGGCAATATTCAAGAGAACACACTTTGCATTTAGGGTTTTCATAGAATTTAATGGCTAATAAAAAGGAACTACATCAACATTTTATGAAGCAAACATGGGTGTTACCGGCCACAAGAATAGTCTTTAGCTAATTGCAGTGGCTATTAAGATGTCCTGGGTGGTCCGAATCAAGAGCCCACCACCAGATCTCCAGATATGGCTTGGTTACCACTATCAACACCTTTTTATCAACCAGGACAGGGTTTTTTTAATCCTGGTCATGGAGAGCCAGAGCGCTGCATATTTTGCATGTCCCTCTTATCTAAAACACCCAATCAGAATTATCAGAATCAGGTGCATTAAATAAAGAAAATATACAAAATATTCAGTGCCGTGGCTCTCCAGGAGGATTGAAAACCACTGGGCTGGGAAAAAAAAACCTGCAAGTCAAATTCCAGGTAACAGGTTACAGTTTAAATCCAATGGAAGATTATTTCTGCCACAGAATAAAAGGTAATTGCAAAGTCCCACAATTCTGACTTTCTTTGCAATTGCAAGTTTCTCACAACTCAGTCTTCCCTTCTCAAATGAGTGTTAACATCTTGCAATCAACTTCTTAGAACTACAAGTTTCTCACAATTTTAAATTTATATCTTGCAATACTGATTGAGTCTGAATTGTGAGAAATGAGATTGCAAAAAAACAACAACAAAAAAAGTCCAAATTAATTTTTATTTTTCTGTGGTGGAAATAACCTCACAGAATTCAGAGTTTCTCATAATTCTGAGTGTCGCAACGGAGTTTGATAAAGTTCAAACTGTATTGAGGCACAGTGGTTGAAATAAAGCTTCCATAAATCCTGATAATGATGCATGATGCTTCTCATAGCTTCCTCACCTTGATAAGGTTGATCTGATGCTCAGCACAAAGAGCCTCCACCAGCTTGACATACATGGGCTCATCACAGTTTGCTGCCAGGACGCAAAGATGAGCCTGGCGCCTGTCAAACACAGAAAGAAAGATCATGAGCCTTCAATCTCCTCCAACAGGTATGACCGAGCACTTCAACAGCATCTCAGACAGAAATTGGGTAACGAATGGCAGTTATCCTCAGAGACTTCAGTAGAGGGAGCCAAATTATCATCAGAGACACACAGCAACATCTTACAGTATTAAAACCCTCATGTGGTGTTCGGGTCCTTTTTGCTCTGAAAAAAAAATATTTTTCCCGAAAATACTAGTTAATGTTATCGCATTGGACTGAAATTTTGTGACTTTGTTCACAAAGGGTATAACTACTTCTAAAAAATTTTTTGATCATTTTCATACTTTCTGGGGGAGATTTTTCACCTTGTTACACCCGTGATGTTACAGAGCAAAAAGGACCCGGCCTCAAACAAATGCTTATAAATCACTCATTATGCTATATTATCAACAAAGATTGGATTCAATCTTTTTGTCAACTTCTTATCTTTCATTTAGGACTGGTTTTGTATTTATATTTGCTTCTGATTAATCGTAGGCCTCATTTATCTGAGAGTAGGCACCTCATTTTTTGAGTGAAAAAAGCATTATTTATGAATAATTTTCACAATATTAAATAAAAACTGAAGAAAATTTGCACTGTTTATCACACTAGTGTACTTTAATGTTTAATCGGGGAGTTTGTTTTGAAAGGCTTTTATTTTGTACAAAATGGCACAAAGTCACACTTGTGGTGTTCCCGGTCAAAAATG